TTCTAGTATGCACTTGCCCCATGAATCTGCTGATGATCTCCTGGCTGCTTCCAGGGCTCACCGACACTGCCACGGCCTTGGCGCAAGTGCCTATGGAGTTTCTGGGTCTTCCCCAGTCTAGATAGCATGGTAACTCCGAGATGAAAAAACAGGTCAAACACATTTTATAAAATCCTACATATTGGGGCCGGTGCTGTGCCGTAGCTGGTGGAAGCCGCCGCCTGCAGTGCCGGAATCCCATATGGGTGCCGGTTTGAGTCCTGGCTGCTTCACTTCTGATCCAGCTCTCTGCTGTGGCCTGGGAAAGCGGTGGAAGATGGCCCAAGTCTTTGGGCCCCTGTACCCACGTGGGAGACCAGGAAGAAGCTCCTGGCTCTTGGCTTCAGATTGGCGCAGCTCTGGCCGTTTGCAGCCACGTGGAGAGTGAACCAGCAGATGGAAGACCTCTCTCTCTCTCTGCCTCTCCTTCTCTCGTTGTGTACCTCTGACTTTTGAATAACTAACTAAATAAATCTACATACTTATTTGGAAAACCTTCATTTCAGGAGGATGGTGTGCCTCAGGACCTCTAGATTGATGGTCAGAGCCAGCGCAAACAACCACCCTTTACTCAAATCCCCTTCTTATGTTTTTTAGAAAAGATTAATTTAGTTATTTGAAAAGCAGAGAGAGAGAGAGAGAGGGGAGAGATCTTCCAACTGATGGTTCACTTTCTGAGTGGCCACAACAGCCAGGAAACTAGGGCTGGTCCAGGTCAAAGCTAGGAGCCAGGGACTCCATCTGGATCTCCCACATGCGTGGAAGGGATCCAAGTACTTGCAGCATCTTCTGCTGCTTCCCAGGTGCACTAGCAGGGGGGCTGGATCACAAGTGGAGCAGCCAGGACTCGAACCTGATGCTCTGATATGGCATGCTGGTGACACAATGCCCACCCCAATTCTCATTCTTTTCAAAAACCGGCACGTGATACACCCACATGCTATAACATGCACTGTTTTACACTGTACAGTTGTGTGGCTTTTGGTACATCCAGAAAGTTGTGCAGCTGTCACCACTCTCTAGTTCTAGAACATTCCCATTGCCTCTGGATCTGTTAGCAGTCTCTGCATTCGTCCCCTCCCCCAGCCCGTTTTCTCTCTCGAGGGTCTGACAATTTCCCATGCAGGCAGCAGTGGATGATACTTGCCTTGGCTCTGACGCATACTTTTGTAGGGGTGTAAACCACTAGAACAGAGAGATGACTACACGCATAGGGCCCTGATGCCTCTGTCATGGACAGTAAGTGAAGCGACAGGTGATTGTTTTTTTCCTGGGCTTCACTGCTTAGGTATGTTTTGCTTCCCAAATCGGAGTTAACAGTGATTTCCCTCACCTGGTTCCCACAGCGCTGCATATATAGTGCCGAGGGGCCAGGTGACTGCTAACTTGGGCTTCCTTGACTGTTGCCAGTACAGGCCAAGATGGGGGGCCCCTAGGGCTGGCGCTGTGGCATAGCAGGTAAAACTGCCGCTTGAGGCACCAGCATCCCATATGGCCCCCAGTTGGAGTCCCGGCCGCTCCATTTGTGGTCCAGCTCCATTCAAATGTGCCTGGGAGAGCAGTGGAAGATGGCCGAGGTGCTTCAGCCCCTGCATCCACATGGGAGACCTGGCAGAATGTTTTGGCTTCAGACCGGTCCACCCCCAGCTGTGTGGTCATTTGGGGAGTGAACCAGCAGATGGAAGATCTTACTCTCTCTCCCTCCCTCCGTCTTTGCCTCTCTATAACTCTGCCTTTCAAATAAATAAATAAATAAGTCTTAAAAAAAGTTATGGGCCGTCAGTTCACAGATAGCACCTGTGCCGTGTCATGTCTGTCCCAGCACAGGCACCCCACAGGCGGTGACAGTGCAATCCCCTTGCCCAGTGCAGACACAGATGGTGGGAGTCATTTGTGTCCCACAGCAGGCAGCCAGAGGTGAGGTGACAGCCAACTGTCCTGTCCTGGGATCTCGGGTGACAGTCGAGTGCCACCACCTGTGCCGTGGCTCCGCCTGCCACAGTTGGATGACGTCAGTGGCCCCTCGTTACCCCGCCCAGTGTGGGCAGCAGGCTTTGTGCTCTCTCCTGGGTCCCCACGTTCCAGCCCCAGCACAGGCACCCCACATGAGGTGATAGTTGGTGGCTTCAGTGACTTCCCTGGACTGCTTGCCTCAGGTGACAGTGGGGGTAACTCGAGGCCCAAGCCCACAGAGCGGCTGTTCTGAGCTGAGGTGACAGTTGATTCTCCCTGGCCAAGCTGACGGGACAATGCAGGGACCAAAGTCTGGGCTTTCAGTCAGATGCTGTCACCTGGACTTGCGTGTCTTGGTTTGTGTAGCGTTCGGCTGCCGTCTGCTGGGTATTGTCTCAGCCTCTGTGTAGCACCCGTCCGTGAAGTGCTCCTGGCATGTTGTCTTGGTGCTTATCTGCACAGGGACCTGGACACGAGGTCACACTGAGTGTCCTCGCCTGGCCTTCATGCTTGCACCAAAGGCCAGATGCCGAGTTGAGGTGAACGGTGATGCTCTACCCCAAGCCATCAAGCCCTGCCCTGTCTAGGCAGCCAGCACTTAGGTGACACTTGGATGTTGACACCTGAACCTAATGCTGCTCCTGTTCACTCAGTGCCGAGGTGATTGTCCCCACCTGGGTCCCCCTGCCCTGTCCCTGGGCAGGCGCAGAGATTGAGGAACAGCTGACATCCCGGACTTGCACCCATACGGCGTCCAGGACTGAGGTGACAGGTGTGTCAGAGGCCACCTAGGCTCTGCTGCATCCTCAGTGGGGGCTCCTAGAGCTGAAGTGACACCAGTCTCAACTCCCTGACTGCCCTAACCTGCCCCTCGCACTTGCGCCTCAGTGGAGGCACCTGAGGGCTGCGGTGACAGCTGCATGTCCTCACCCGGCTGCTTTGATTCTCTGCCGCCTGCTTCTGCTCGTCCCCTTGAGGGATGCCACGCCCCTGGACACAGCTGGCTGGCATAGGGGCGGGCAGCAAGGGTGGGGTGCTCACTCAGGGGCTCTACAAGGGGCTGTCAGCACCAAGACCCCCCGCAGGGTCACGACGGGCCTCTGAGCATTCGTTCTCCACCAAGGGTTCCATGTCATCTCAGGCTCCTATTTGAAACTTTGCAGATCCAGCACGCTGGCCAGGGCAGGCTGGGATTCACATGGCTCTCTCCCGGGAGCTGATGCGAGGTGCCCTCTGGTGGCCAGCTGGGGGATGGCAGGGAGTCCACCATCTCCGGAGTCCATAGACCTTGTGTGTCATCCTGGGACTTGTCAACGCAGCCAGGTGGCATTGAAACCCCTCGGGGACAAGGATCGGGTCTCTAACCACACTAGCACCCAGCAACACTCGTAAGACCCAGAGGAGGCGACTGTGTGCACGCGGTGTTGAAACCCTGGCACTCATGTGCACTCACTGCGGTTTCACGTCTTGTCCTGGCAGTCTCTGGCCCAGCTGCCCTGTAGGGGCACCCGGTTTCCTATGGAAGGCAGCAGGCCTGGCTAGGACATGGAGCCCAGAGGACAAGGGGCGGCAGCCTCGTCACTAGTATATAAATTGGCTCACCCTTGGTGGCCCCATCAGCTCGGAAAGATGGCTCTCAGCTGGAGTCATGTCTCTTCTTCCCAGGCGGCCATGGGCACCCACAGAACAGAGGACTAAGGCCCCTGCCTCTGTGCTCCTGAGCACAGAGCCCTGGAGACTGTTCTAGGGCAGCCCAGGCTAACAACGCCCAAGGACCCGAGACTTCCTCCTTCCTTCCCGATTTGGACTAGGTGACCGTGGTAATGGCCTCCCATGACTGGGAGGTGCTCCCTCCTGTAGACACACATGGCACACAAGGTTGTAGCTTGGGCATGTGTATGGGGCGGGCAGCTCATGGGACAGGCACAGGCCTGCCTGCCACTTGAGTTTCTTCCTTAGCTCATTCCCACATAGCATAAGGAAAACAGATGACTGTGTTTCCAAGTGGGGTCGTGTGGCCAGCAGTGAAACCATAGGTACGGGGAGGAGCTCTTTTGCTTAACTCCTGGTGACAGAGTGATGTGACCATTGTCACCTGCAGGGTCATGACACACAGCCTCCCCTGTCGGGAGTGCAGCACTCCTTGCCTGGCTCTTTTCCAGGCCACTCTGTCCCCTCCATCGGATCATTTTGTTCCCTGGCAGCCTCAGTCTACGTGAGAACTTGGGCCATAGGGTCAGTTCCTGCCACGTGTCCTCACTCAGCCCAGGATGGAGGCTGGCGAACATGCTGTGGCCCCCACTAGGTGCGGTATAGTGAAGGGTCCCCCAAATTCAAGTCCACCTGGAACTTCAGACAGCAACCTTTCATGGCAACAGGGTGTTTGTAGGTGCACGTGAGTTAGGATGAGGCTATCCTGGAGCATGGTGGGGCCCTCTTCCACAATGTCTGAAGTCCTGGTAAAGGTCCAAAATCCATCTCTGGTTTTCAGCCCCCTGTTACTTTCTAGTACCCCGGGGAGGCAACAGAAACAGATGCAGGAGCTCATACCTCTGGTGCCTTAGTGGCTGCCTAGGCCCGAAAGCTGGACATGACCTCGGCCTACCTCTTTGCCTCTTAACCTCTGATGTTAGTCACACGTTTGATCGCATCCCCATCCCTGAAGGGGCCCTGGTTAGGGAGGGACAGTGCGGATGACAAGCAGTGCAAGTGTCGAGTGCAGAGTGAAAGGAAATGCGACCTGCCCTCCTGCTTCAGGCTGTGGTCGCAACAATGAGCAGAGGCGGAGTGAGGAAGACTCGGCAGGCAGCGTGGACATGGGACAGGCTTGGGTCCCTGCAGAGGCACCACGGGAGACTGGAGGTGAGCAGGCCCGGAGCAAGTGCAGGGGGAGGAACAGCAGGCAACAAGGGGAACAGAAAAAGGGCTGGGTCCCCAGGCAAGCAGGTGGCTGTAGGCTCGCTCCTTCACGGCCACAGGTGCTAGGGAGGTAATGACAAGGGGACAGGTGGGGCTCTTTGCAAATTTAATGGCAGGGGTTAAAGTGGAGGGTCCCAGCTGCTGCTTCTGCTTTGCCTGCGCTTGCGGTGGAGAGGCTGTGGAGTGCAGGAGGCCCAAGACACTGCCAGGCAGCACGAGGTCCCTTCCGGCTGGCGACGAGGAATGTGGAGTGGCACTGAGGTGGGCATGGTTGCAGGCAGGCGCTCTCACGTGGCCACATGCGTGCCCTTCCCACCAGAGGATTGCCCACAGCCGTGAGGGAGTGCGGTGCGGCCACTGCTCCACTGAGGCCCATGGGCTCTCCTCCGTGTCCCTAACTTCCTGCTCCGGCCATTACTGGCCCAAGGAGCCCTGGGGCAGAGAGGCAGGCCGCTCTCTTCTTCCTTCTGCTGGGGCTCGAGTGAGGGGAAGATGGGTTAGGTCCTGTGGAGCCAGCTGGCTCAGGCAGGGCTGCGGTGGCCTGGGGAGGTCACAGTGAGTCTCAAGTGCTTGGCGGCTGAGGAATGTAGCCGGGCTCCGGGAGCGGCGGCGGTGGCAGCCGCGGTGGGTGGAGGGGGTGCCCCAAGCCAGGGGCCAGGAATGCGAGGCTGAGGCCTATGGTCCCAAAGTCATCCCGACGCGGGGCCGGGTGTTGTGAAAGACAAGACACAGATGGGGCGGCTGGGGGCGGGGTGCAGGGGGGCAGGTGCCAGGGGTCACAGCTTGTGGGGGTTCACCCACTTGTAGGTGCCCTCGTACTGGAAGCCCACTCTCTTCATCAGCTCGTCTGCCTCCGCAGGGCCTCGGCTGGGCGGTGACAGGCAGAAGGGGAGCCGTGAGGGACTCCGCCCCTCGTTCCCCCACTGCCCCGCCCGCCCGGCAGGCTCTGCTCCCCGGCGCACCGGGCCTCACCTGCCGTAAACGTAGGGGATGGGCTGTGGCTTGTCCCGCTCAATCCTGTGCAGCAGAGGGGTGAAGATCCGCCAGGCCTCCCGGAGCTCGTCACTGAGGGGACACAGTGCGACTGTGGGGGGCGTGGGGGCGTGGGGGCGCGGGCAGGGCGGGGGCTCGCTGGCCCCCACGCCTGCTGCCCCCGCGTGGGCCGGCGCGTGGCGGGTGGCTGGGGCCTCACCTGCGCACGAAGTGCATCTGGCTCCCGCAGAAGACATCCAGGATGAGGCGCTCGTAAGCGTCAGGCAGCTTCACGTTCTGTGGGGGAGGGGGCCTTGCTGAGGCTGCCACGCAGGGCCCCCCCCCAGGGGTGCCCGGCCCCAGCCCGGCGCGGCACCTTGTATCGGTTGCCGTAGGTCAGGTCCAGCTCGGACTCCTCGGGGTTGAAGAACATGCCAGGCTTCTTGGTCATCATCTTGGTGTACACGGCCTCGTTGGGCTGCACGCGGATCACCAGCTCGTTGCGCTTGCACTGCTGGTGGAAGATATCACCGGCCACGTCCCGGAACTGCAGCCGCACCTCGGCCTTGCGCTCGTTCAGGGCTTTGCCGCAGCGCAGGATGAAGGGCACCCCTGCGTGGGAAGCAAGGCCGCCTTGGGAGCAGCTCTGCCCTGAGTGCAGGGCGAGGGGCGGGGCAGAGCAGAGCGGTGTGTCACAGCGGCCAGGCCCGCCCACTCCTCACGGCCCTCGCCTACCTTCCCACCTCTCGTTCTCCACATAGAGGACGACGGCTGCGAAGGTGGCGGTGGTGGAGCCGCGGGGCACCGTGGGGTCATCCAGGTACCCTTTGGTGGCCTCCCCCTCTCCATTGGGGTTCCCTACATACTGGCCCAGGACCACGTTGTCCGCCTGCACTTCTGAGATGCACTTTAACACCTTGACCTGGGGGAGAGGCGCCAGGGGAGGGTGAGCCCCGGGGGCAGCAGGGCAGGGTGCAGGGCGGCAGGGCTCCGGGAGGCTGCACCCCGCCTACCTTCTCGTCGCGGACGTCATCGGAGTCAGTGGAGGCGGGCTTCTCCATGGCCACCAGGCACAGCATCTGCAGGAGGTGGTTCTGCATCACGTCCCTGGTGGGAGAGGAGGCCGGAGAACAGACGTTCAGGTTCCCAAACTCCTGGCGAGAGGAAGAGCCCGCAGAACAGGAAGGGTGGCTCTTACCGGATGATGCCAAATTCATCAAAATAGCCCCCACGGCCCTCAGTGCCGAAGGGTTCCTTGAAAGTGAGGATCACACAGGCGATGTTGTCCCGGTTCCAGATGGGCCCAAAGATCCTGTTGGCAAACCTGCAGGGAGAGCGCACAGCTGAGCTCCACGCTGGGCCAGGCCCAGCCCCAGCCCCCTCGCCTGCACCCGGGAAGGACCTGACCTCAGGGCAGCAGCAGGCCCGGGGCTCCCCAGGCCCTCACCTCAGCACCATGAGGTTCTGGACCATCTCCTTGCCGAGGTAGTGGTCAATGCGATAGATCTGGTCCTCGCGGAACAGGGAGGAGATGTGGTTGGACAGCTGGTCCGAGCTCTGCAGGTCTCTCCCGAAGGGCTTTTCCACAATGACACGGTTCCAGCCTCTGCCGGGAGCCCACGGCCACGTCACCCCGACCCTTGCCAGGAGCGCGTGACCCAGGGAAGCTCTGCCGGGCTGGACGGGGCCCCTCCCTCGGTACAAAACTTCCTCATATCTGAGGGCATCTTGCATGCCCCTCCCTGAAGGCCAGGCTCAAGATCTTCTTAGTCAAAGTGCTGGCGTCTGCAACAGCTCTTGCGCCTGCCTGGCAGCTAGGGTGGCAATGGTAGCATTTCTGGGTGTGGCCCTCTTTCTTCCTGCCCTCCCCTGGGTCTGCAGTGGAGCTGGCGGGGTGGGTGGTGGCGACAAGGGCATAGCTTCCCCACTGGTTCTCAAAGGAGAAAGGCCCCTTTCTTGGCCGTCTCCCACAGAACCTCCGTATTCAAAGGCAGGGACAGGAGAAAGGGATGCAGTGCTGAAAGGCAGCACGGCGTTTCTCATGGAGCAGCAGCGCCACCTGGCGGCCGGCGAGGACTTGAAAGGTTCACAATTGAGCGGGCGGCGGCTGCAAGTCTTTCATGGAGCAACACTGCCATCTTGCGGTCCTGGCGGGCACTTGCCAGAGACCATTCTAGAGAGATCCATGCTGGTAAGGGAGCTTTTTGAATGGTAAATGCGGGTGGCAGCATTTTCAGCGATGACTGAACAAAAAGGAGACATCCTTTTCAAAAGACTGCCTAGAGCTTCACCCAGGGGCTCCTCAAAGGAGTGGGAAACAGATCCTGCCCACTGGCTTCCAGGGAGGGAAAGGGGTAAAGGACCAGCCTTACGTCTGACTCATGCAGGTCTCATGGATGTTCTTGGTGACGGCCTCGTAGACGGTGGGGGGCAAGGCCAGGTAGAAGAGGCGGTTGGCCTGTGGCCCCTGGTGGAGGGCATTTATGTGGCTGTTGAGGCGCTGGTAGGAGGCAGGGTCATCGTACTGGCCAGCCACATAGGAGTTGCGGGCAAAGAACTCTTCCAGTTTGGGCTTCTCCTCGGGGTTGACCTGGGAGAGAGGGAGGCACTGACTTCAGCCCTGCCGCTGCCCCTGTCACACGTTCAGGTCTGCTCTGCCCCAGCCTGTGCTCGCTCCCCTGCCAGGTGGCCTTCCCTGGAGCCCGGCGAAGACTCCCTTCAGGTCTACTGCCCTTGACTGCATGCCGGGGTCACGCTCATCTCAGCACCTCTGCACATCTCTGGGCAGGCAGTGCAAACCCAGGCAGCCAGTCAGTGATGTGACCCCTGCACATCCCTGGGGACCCTGTGCCTCAAACAAGGAGGTCGTATTTCAGGAAACTCTCAGCTGCGAGACGGACATTCTACCAACCTGTGACTGTTAAGAAAACGCCAACCTGCGGGCTTCCCCAGCTGGCATGCAGGGGCGGGGGGGCGGGGCTGGGAAATGGTGTCTCAGGCTGCAAGGACCCCTGCCCCTGCCCTGTGCCTCTCTATAGCCACGCTCAGGTTGGCAGGCAGCAGCGGCTTTGGGGAGGGCCAGGAAGTGACAGGCTAGGGCAGGAGCACCGCAGGCAGGCAGCCAGCCCACAGCAAGTCAGGACAGGGCTGGTGTGGGGGCGGGGGTGTCCCCCTGTGGGCTCCAGGCAGAGAGGGCAGGACAAGGACAGGGGAGACCCTGCAGCCACTCACCCTGAAGAAGGGCTCACTCTGCCGGCGGATGTCGGCCACCGTGAGGCGGGAGCGGGCGTATCCCACAACGAAGGTGTCTTCGGGCAGAAGGCCATCCCGGAACAGCCACCTGAGGGCAGAGCACAGCTGTGGCCAGGCCTGTCTGAGGCGGAGAGGGTACAGGGCCGCCGGAGACGTGTGCTTACCAGATGGTGGGGTAGATCTTCTTCTTGGCCAGGTCACCCTGTGGCAGAGGAAACAGGTGTGGTCAGAAGCTGGGGACATGAGCCATGTCGGCCCCTGCCCTGGGTGATCTGGGCACTCACTCCGGGTCAGCACTCTGTCCCAAGTGAGTCTATGTGACACCTCCCTCCCCTCCTCTCCCACCACAGGAGCTCTGAGGTGGGAGCCTGATTGCCCTGTACTCTGACCAACAAGGCAGGGAGTGTGTGTTGCCCACGCTCAAGGAAACCTGCAAAATCAACTCACTAGAACCAAATGAGGACGGAAGTGCCCTGTATCCAACCTGTGCGGGGTGACCTGAAGTAGTTCCGCTAGCAAAAAAGAGTGGTTTGAAAGCCACGAGCTAAGGGTGCAATCTCAGGAGTTAGAAAAAGGATCGTAGACTTTTTAAAGCATTTATTTTATTTACTTGAAAGAGCTACAGAGAGGTAGAGATACACACACACACACACACACACACACTGAGAGAGAGAGAGAGAGAGAGAGAGATCTTCCATCTGCTGGTCCAATCCCCAATTGGCTATAATGGCCAGAGCGGAGCCTATCCGAAGGCAGGAGCCAGGAATTTCCTCCGGGTCCCCACGAGGGCACGGGGCCCAAGGACGTGGACGATCCTCCACTGCTCTCTGAGGCGCACCAGCAGGGAGCTGGATTTGAAGTGGAGCTGAGCCGATCCGAAGGCAGAAGCCAGGAACTTCCTCCGGGTCCCTGATGAGGGCACAGGGCCCAAGGACCTGGACGGTCCTCCACTGCTCTCTGAGGCGCACCAGCAGGGAGCTGGATTTGAAGTGGAGCCGAGCCGATCTGAAGGCAGGAGCCAGGAACTTCCTCCGGGTCCCCACGAGGGCACGGGGCCCAAGGACCTGGACGATCCTCCACTACTCTCTGAGGTGCACCAGCAGGGAGCTGGGTTTGAAGTGGGGCAGCTGGGACCCCGGCATTGCAGGGGTTTGGCTTTAACCCACTGTGCCACAGTGATGGCCCCAGGACAGTAGAATTTTAAAGCCAAACAAATCGCAAGGAAGGAAACAATGCAATTAAAAATGAACACAATGGAAAACTAATCCAAAGATTGATGAAGCCAGAAGTCATTGACAACTCAGATGAGATGGACACACTTTTAGAAAAAAACCCAACCTACTAAAACAGAGCAAGTGACCCGAGTGGAACATTGGCCACAAACCTTCCCACCAAGACAATCCCCAGCGCAGAAACTATCGCGGGGGTTCTCCCAGGACGGGAGGAAGAGAGGAATCCCCCCTGAAGCAAACTCTTCCTGCAGACAGAAGAAAGGGGAACACCCTCAAGCCACTGTACGGGGTCTACAGAACCTCAGTACGGAGCTCTGATGAGAAAGGCACACAGGAAAGTCAGTTATTCACGCACACTCAGGCAGATGCAAAAGACACCCCAAAGTGGATCTTGCAATGTTAAAGACTTAATCCATCAGAACCAAGTAGGGTTTACCCTGGAAATAAAATGTTGGCTTGGTGTTAAGACACAAAAGTCAGTCACTGCAAATCACAGGAAGAGATTAAAGGAGAACCACTCTGACAGTTAATCCCTGCCTTTTGAGATCTAGCAGCCTTGATCAACTCCTCAGATGTAGACGGAATGTCTCAGAAATTATCTAGACAGAGTAAAAATGGGTACCAGAGTAGGCATAAAAGGAAACCTCTGTAAAACATCTGTAAAACACCCAGCAAATGCCATATCTAATGGGAAATGTTGAAATAATTCCCTTTCAACAATCAGGAACAAGAAAAGCTTGCTAGAATACAGGCCCCTTACCAGTGCAGTAAGGCAAGAAAACGAAAATGGCCTCAGGTTTGGCAGAAAAGAAACAAAACTGCTATTCTTATAGATGACAGTTTGTCTACGAAAATAGCCTTCAAGGCAATCTACAGGTTAAGCCATCATAATCAATGAGTTTAGCAAATTTGATAGATGGAAAAAATTAATAGTAGGCAAAGATTTCTTAGGACATAAAACCACCACAATGATTGAGAAATGAAGTCTTCATCTACACATGCCACTGAAAAAATAGATGGGCCTCTTCTAACACAGTAAAAAAACAATCCAATGATATACCACTTTACACTCACTAGATGGCTTCAGTCCAAGCCCGGCAACACTGTGTGTGGGGAACACCTCACAGATGCTGTAGGTAGACGATGGAGATGGTGCAGCAGGTTGAGCTGCCCCTTGGGACACCCGCATCCTGTATTGGAGTGCCTGGTTCAAGTCCTGGCTCCTTGACTTCTGATCCAGCTTCTTACTAATGTGTTTTGGAGGCAGCATATGATGGCCCAAGTACTTGGGTTCCTGCCACACACATGGGAGACCAACATGGAGCTCTTCACTCCTGACTTCGGGCTGGCCCAGCGCTGACTGATGTGGGCATCTGGGGAGTGAACCAGTGAATAGAAGATCTCTGTCTCTCTCTGCCACTCTGCTTTTCAAATAAGTAAATAAATCTTAAAAACACACACACAAGTCTGGCAGTCTCTTACTAAGTGAAGGCCATGCTTCTTTATCCAGTGAAACACCAACCTCCATCTAACAAGTTCTGTAGACCCAAGTGTTTTTAGGTGTTTGGGGCCAGTGTCCCCATGCAGAAGACAGTCTGGCAGCCTGTTATCACTTGAAGGCCACGCCTACTGTGCCATCCGGCCAATCCACTCCCTTGTGCTACTCAGGAGAAATGAGAGCATAACTGCTCAAGGCAGTCTTATTTTCCGCAAACGGGAACAACCCAGATGGTGAAATTAATCAACAGGTAAATGGACAAATCTTCTGTCCATTTGACAGGACACTGCTTGAGTGACATTAAGGAACCAGCTATAGACCTCCCCAATGCTAGTACACTGGAAAAAAATCATGCTGAGCCAAAGAACAAAGGAGAAACTGGACACTAAATAGGAATGTATGTCAATAAAGCTGTGGGCCTGGCCACACCAACCTGCTGTGGCAGACATTTGACGAGTACTTGCCTGGAGCAGGGAGGAACTGGCTGGGAGGGGGCACCCCAGAATTTTCTGGGGAGATGGAAATGTCCCATCTCGCCATGAAAGTATGTAACCAATTGGCATTGCAATGTGTACACAAAATGGACGGTGGGAAGGAGGAGGAAGCAAAGGGAAGGTCAGAAATTACAGTTTCTTGATGGGAGCGGCTCATGTGACTGCGCTGAGCTGGTGAGAAGGCACAAGGTATTCCAATGAAACATTATAAAAATTAATAGACACGGGGCTGGTGCTGTGGCGCAGCAGGTTAATGCCTTGGCCTGCAGTGCTGGCATCCCATATGGGTGCCGGTTCTAGTCCTGGCTGCTCCTCTTCTGATCCAGCTCACTGCTTTGGCCTGGGATGGCAGTAGAGGATGGCCCAAGTCCTTGGGCCCCTGCACCCACATGGGAGACCTGGAAGAAGCTCTTGGCTCCTTCGGATTGGTGCAGCTCTGGCCGTTGTGGCCATCTGGGGAGTGAACCAGCAAATGGAAGACCTCTTCTCTACCTCTCTCTGTAACTCTGTCTTTCAAATAAATAAAATAAATCTTAAAAAGTCAACTGTCCTCCTAGCAAGCAGTTGAGAAAAAGCAATTCAAAATAATTCTGCCACTTACAAAAGGAAAAAAAAATGACAAAGAGCCTAGAAAGTAACCTGATGAAGCACAAGTGCAGGGCCATGGCAGCGAAGCCACCCTGCTCAGTCACAGACATGACCAGGATGTGGGATGGAGCTGGCAGGAGGTTCACAGTTCTTTCCCTCTGGGCTGATGTGCCCACCCAGCGCCGGCGCCAGCAAGGGCCAGGCAGACTTTAATTTGGAAGCTGATAAAGTAGGTGGAAGACGAAGGGGGCAGGAGAGGCCAGGCCAGGGCACGTAACAGCACAGGGAGCCTGCCCTTTCATCTCTACCCCTATAATCAGGAGCATGGGCCTGCAGGGGCGGGTGACTATGCAGCGTCTACCCAGTGGCAGGGCACTGGGCCTGTCCCTGCTCAGGTCTGACTCATCTGGGACAGAAAAACCGATGCCAGGGGTTAAGGACTTGAGCAGGAAATGTGAAGGTAGCTTTTCAGTCCTCCTTGCAGACAGATTAGGCGAAAGAGGCCCTGAACCGCCATCGAACAAGTGTTTTGGACTCAAGTTGTCCCTGAGTCTGGGGCAAGTGTCTCGAGGTAGCCATGGACAACTGTACGGAAGGCAGGCAGGATACTCCTTGCCCTGGTCCCGAGCCCCAGGGGCCCCTGAGGGTGAAGATACCTACTGTCCCCTCCAGTACGTATGAGTGACAGCTGAGTACTGTGACAAGGGGACAGATCGAGCAGCCTTTGAACACGAACGCAGAGGCTGTGTCACCAGAACACGGCAGCCCTGAAGCCGCGAGGGGAGCTCCTGGCGGGCCATTCTTTAAGGGCGGAGTCCCCTGCTCTCGGTCCTCCTGGGGCTTCAATGCCGGGCTCTCAGTGGTCGCACTGTGCCTCCGCTTTTCCTGAGGTCATCTTAGCCATGTGTCGCACGTGAACCACTCTGAGGGGTTTCCCTACGTGACACCTACTGCTCACTGCTGACACTGCTCAGTCCCCCCGCTCCTGGGAGAAGCTCCTGCCTCTATCACACCAGATGCTGCCCTTGCTTTAGGGCCCAGCTCCCTACCCCACAGGCACCTGCCAATGCCCACGTCTGCTTTCTCCCCTTAGTGGGCCGGGAGGCACCGGCAGCCCACACTCTGCAGACAGGGCCAGCACGCTGGGAACCAGATCCTGAGCAGAACACTGAGAACCCCAGGCTGTGGAAACCTCTGGCTTTCCTAACAGTGGGCTGTGTTTGCTTAGGACCAAATCCCAACAAACTGGGAGGGAGCGGGCCACACACGGGGCGGCAGGGGCCAGTCCTGCTGAGTCACACGGCCCCACACCCCCAGCTGTTTGCTCTCGCCTTCCCCTTTGGGATTAGCCGCGCTAGAACCTGCTTGCCTTGTTTCAGCTCCACGCGCACAATGGACAGCTCTGCGCTCCTGAGTCACCTGAGAGGCAAGGTAGGACCGAGGACCCAGGCCAGCGGGGGCAGGGGCAGGATACGCTGCTCCCTCTGGTGGGGCCCTCAGGACGTGGAGAGAGCTAGTCCCCAAAAGGTTTTCACCGTGTACTCTGCAGGACTACATACAGGAAGCCCTCAGGACAGCCTGCGTGGCAGCGGTGGCAACAAGAGGTGCGTGGGACCCTCTCATCTTTTGCCTGAGGACCAGGGCGGGAGTGCTGTGCACCCCAGGAGAAGCAGGCCCTGGTTAGGATCTCCAGCACCTAGAGTGGCCAGGCCAGAGCAAAGGGACGCAGGCCGTCAGCTGCCTGGGTCACCTGTGGCTTGGCGGCAGCGGCTGCTTAGAAACCCAAGCCCCTCTGGCCCTTTGTCTCGGTGCACGCTCCTGAGGCGGAGCTTCGGGTTTTGGTGGTGGCAGCCGCAGGCATCCCTTGAGTGAGAACCTGGGAACTGCTGAGCTAACTTGCAAGTGCAGAACCAACAAAAGGGCCTCCCTCCTACTCCCCAGGGCTTGTGAGTCACCAGGTCTTTGGGGGAGTGCCAGCTTCATGACACAGCAAGAATCTTATCGACACTGGGGGGAGTCGGCCCAGCAATGTCCCAAGGAAAGGGAGGAACCGGGCCGGCTGGATTGTGCCCCGCACCTCGCGCAGCCTGGCCCAGCTCCTATCAGGTGGGGGAAGATGCTCTCTGGGGCTCAAGGTTCTTTGGTCTTCAAGGCCAGAGCTCTCCGGAGCAGGACGGCAAGCACCTCGGCCCCCTTCCTGCTGGGGTGGGAGTCATGGGAAGGAGGAAGCGGCCGGGGACAGTGAGTGCTAGCTCTGTGCCCATGTGGAAACTCTGAGCTGGCAATTGGGCCACCCCGGGAAGGAAGCCGGGCATGTAGGTGAGAGTTGGGCAAGCCAGCCAGGGAGGAGGAAGGGGCAGGGCTTGGCCACGTGGGCTAGGCGCCCCGCAGTGGCCTGTCTGCCCAGGCTCTGGACCCACTAGCCACTGGCCTCCTTTTGGTTTCTGGGTCACGCTGAGCTCCGTCTGACTTAGGGCTTGGGGTGTGCGTGGGACGCTTCCCTGGCTTTCGCCTGCAGGGCTTGCTCTCCTGGCCCTCCTCGTGGGACCTGAGGGCTAAAGCGGGGACTGGGGACACAAGTGGCCACTTTTATCTTCTGTCCCATGTGCCACTCTGAAAGTCTGTCCTTGAGGAGGCAGGGACCATGGCTGTTTCCCATAGCCACAGGACCCTGCCTACCTTTGGCACCCAGTGAGGCATGAGGGTGGGAGCTGTTCTGGGGTTGCCCAGGCACGGGGCACACCCCCTGCTCTAGCCCCTTCCACCAGGAGGAGGGAGAAAGAAACAATAAGGCTCTTCAGAGGACCCTTGTCCTCCCCCACTGGCTTACGCCAGGGCCTACACTTCCCCCTTTGGCTCTGAAAGCCTCTGGTTGTCACTCCCAGAGCGAAGAACAAAGAGGAACTCTACCAATTGCAATGAAACAGAGTTGCCCAACCCCAGGGCCACACAGGGGAAGGTAGCCAGAAGACATACAATCAAGGCAAAGTCACCGGCCCCTTCGCACCTATTTCAAAAGCCCTCATCTGCTGGCTGGAAACGGAGGTTTGAAGTAGGGGAGACATCTGCTCCAGGTCACACACAAAGCTGGACACATAAGCCATCACTGTGGCCCGGGTCACTCTGTTGGAGCATCCTTGTGACAGCGTAGGGTGGGGATGGGGAAGGATTAGAAAAATCATTCTCAGCGCTCAGCGACTTTCTCCTCCAACTTGCTACTGAGACTAAAGTTTGTGACTGACACAATGTAGCTCCTCTAGTGGGATCAGACTGGGGCCAGAGCTGAGGCCAAGCCTGTACCCTGTGTGTGCCAGGTCTTAGGTTTTTCTGGAGTGAGAAGACAGTGCTTGGGGTAGCCCTCCATTGCTCTTTCATAGGCAAGGCCCTTCTCCCTTGCTTGTCTCCGTCCTTTCCCAAGTTCTGATCAGAGACAGAGGTGGCAGGGAGCGAGTGGCAGATCTGGCAAAGGGTGATGGGAAGTTAATGTCCAAGATGGTCCGTCACATGTTTGCAAGCACATTCGTGGGCATTCCCTGAGTTAAAAATGCAAAGTGGGGACCACTTGGAATTTCTGTTCTCATCAGTGCCGCCTATGTCTTGCTGCCACACAGGGGGACACTGCTCTACCAGGACCACCTCTCTGTCTTCTGCTGTCCCCAAGCCCCATCAACATGCTACATGTTTGCCTGTTCTGCTGTCCCCAAGCGCCATCAATGTGCTATATGCTTGCCTGGGCTTTGTTCTTTGGCCTTTCCTAGCGGAGCTAAATGGCAGTTCCGGCAGCTGGACAACCGGGGCCAGGTGGGATGGGAAAGCGCTCCTCAGCAGGCTTTGGAAGTCACTGTGTGCCACTTGTCAAATCACAAACAGGCTGGAAAAAACTACAGAATCAGTAGCATTCCTCTTTCCATCTCAGTTTTCCCTGGGGAGGAGGAAGGCGTCCAACTAGGTGGTTCCTAAGGATCTTGGAGCTCCAGGACGTGGGTCTACAGTCGATAGCCGAGCAGAGGTTTCAGCACCCCCCCTGTGGGGGCATATTATGTAGTGTGGGCTTGATACTAGGACATGGGTGGAAGCAACAGGAAGGGCCCATGTGGCCCCACAATTGGCTGGAAAAGCTTTTGCACAGAGTGGGAAGCGCCTTGCACAATGTCACATTCACATTTTCAATTTTAGGATCCGGGGCCTGGGGAGACTTACCGATGCACCCATGATGATGAATATGTGAGTATCCGCCTGGTGGAAGGCATTGCCTTGATAGAGCTCTTCTCGTAGGATCCCGCACACTTGGGTCCTGCTCAGGGCCACTTGCTCTGCCATGATGTTGCTGTCTGTGGGAGGAAAGGCTTGTTGACAAGATGGGAGAACAGAAGACCATTGAGAAGTTGGCCCCCATCTCCCATCAGGGAGCCTTTAGGTCCTCACTCGGCTGACCACCTCCTGATGGCTGGGACGGGCGGGGACTGGGGGTGGGTGGGAGAGTAGGCTCGGTGAGTCAGAAACTGCAGGCTCTGGGCTTTGGCCGTGCTTCGCGGCTCACTTCTTCCAGAGAGCGCATTATAAAATCGCCCTGAGCACCACAAGATCCCAGTTAGAGCATCAAGTCTAACTAGAGTGAACACCTGCACCGCGTGCCTAGGGCATCTCACTCTGAGCTCCGGCAGAAACCAGGGTGAGTGGATGACGGAGTTTGGCTCCCGCCCTCCCCCGTCCCCCTGGGGAGCCCTCAGCAGGTCCCCGCCACTCTCAGTGTCTCGTCCTTAGAGGCCCAGTGAGAGCGGTGCGTGGTACAAAGGGAATCAGTAAGACCCCATGGATTATGTCGCGTTTCCCAAGCGTGGCAAGTAGCGTGCAGGAAGGGCTGCGCGCGGGAAGCACTCCCTTCGGCTGGAGCGGCGCCCGCCCACCCCGTTACCTGCGCCTCGCCGCCGCCGCCGCCCGCCGCGCGCACTGCCCCGGACTGCACGGTCGTTTCCGGGGGCTGAGCCCCGCCAGCCCATTTAACCGGCGGGGGCGGGTGCCTCGGCTGAGCTGACCGACCTCAGGAGAGGCGCGAGGGGCGGGGCTTCAGCCAGGCTCTCTCGCGCGGGCGGGGCGGGGTGGGGTGGGGCGGGGCGAGGCGAGGGCAGCTGCGCGCGCAGGCCGGGTTTGCGTTGCGCCCGATCCGCCCAGTCCCGCCAGCGCCTGGGCACCTGCGCCGGTGGCCAATTCGTGGACTCCTTGGGGTCTCTGCTGCTGCTGAGCGTCCGCAATGCCTTGCGGGCACGGGTGCAGCTCCCCGCAGTTCTCCCGTGTCCTCATCGCTAGGCTGGCCTCGCCCAGATGGTCGGATTTCCCGCTCGCCCTGGGGGACCCCCGCGCCCTAGCAGTGGGCTCCACTTCCGTCGGCAGCGTGGCCACGCCTCCCTTGGGTTCCCTTTTGCTCATGGCAGGGCCGTTTAAAGCCCTCCTTGCTCCCCAGAGGAACCGACACTTGTCCTCTAGTCAAAGTGGCCCTATTGGTGCAGCCTCGTCCCGGCTCCTCCCGCGGCAGGGGCGGGGCCGTGGGGAGTCCCCGAGGGTGGATGCCGTCGCCGGAGAGATGAGGGGCAGTGTGGGTCTTGAAGCCCTGAAAAGACGCGGGTGGTGCTTATCACTGGGGAGCGTCCCGTGGGCAGGCCAAAGCTGGGGAACTCGTGTTTCCCTCTGCAGCAGGATGCAGTCTTACCGTGGCCTCGCACCTCTCCCAGTCTCCGGTGTTCTCCGGGACCCTGCTCATATGTTTTACTTCCGGTTCCCTTGGCTACGACACCGGAAGCCGGAAGCGGGGGGTTAAACAGCGGGGAAGGGAAGGGCGACTGCCGAACCCGGACCTTCTTAGAACGCCGGGGTCCTCAGAGCTCTCGGAGCCTTCTGCTCCTGTCCTGCTCACTCTAACCAACTCTGCTGACAGGTGAGGTTCTCTTCCGCCAAGACCGGATCCCTTGGGTGGGCGCGGCACTGCCCTCGAGACTGCCCCGGACGTCCAGGCTCCCCCTCCTCTTGGGTCCCCAGCCGGTGCTGCCGCACTTGTTGAGCACGGGCCAAGGCGGGCCGGGTTGTTTGGGCGGTACCGGAGCCACGGAGCCTAACCATGCCCCTAGGGCGAGGACTCTTTCTAGTTTGGAGACATTTTCTGATAAGCAAACTTGTGAGCGCTTGAGATTTTTAAAAAAGGCGGCCAGTTATAGTCTGCCAGCAAACTATCTTACCCCATGGGCCTCAGTTTGCTTGTTTTGCAAAAAAACTTACTATCTCCCTGATCTTAATATTGTTTCTGCGATCTTCATGAACGGGCCGTCCTAGCACATTTGAGCAACAGCAAGGAGACCAAGGGAGGGAGGTGAGAACAGTTGGAAAGGAAGAAATGGGGGACTAGGGTGATACAGGGTCTTTTTGTAGGCCGTTGTAGGCACTGGCTATTTAGTCTGAAAGTGATAGGGAGCCATGGTACGGTTCTCAGAGGAGCGATGTGATGGGACTTTTCTTTTATACTGATTGCTGTGGCCGCGGTGGGGAGAGACAGTAGACTGTAGGGGCAAGGATAGAAGCAGCGTGCCCATTAAGCGATTATTGCCTCAATCCAGGTGAACGATGATGATGCTTTGATCATTTTTATTGAAAATTTAAAAAATATGCAAAAGTGCAAAGATAAGCCTAATTAAATCCAATGTACCCATCTCCAAGGATCAATTGATGCACAATTTTAATTTAGACTTACCATAATCAGAATTATTTTTTTAAAGATTTATTTGTTTTATTTTATTTGAAAGTCAGAGTTACACAGAGAGAGGAGAAGCAGAGAGAGAGAGAGAGAGAGAGAGAGAGAGGTCTTCCATCCGATGGTTCACTCCCCAATTGGCTGCAATGGCCAGAGCTGCGCCAATCTGAAGCCAGGAGCCAGGAGCTTCTTCTGGGTCTCCCACGTGGGTGCAGGGGCCCAAGGAGTTGGGCCATCTTGTACTGCTTTCCCAGGCCACAGCAGAGAGCTGGGTCAGAAGTGGAGCGGCCAGGACTAGAACTGGCACCCATTGAGGATGCCAGTGCTTCAGGCCAGGGCATTAACCCGCTGCGCTACAGCGCCAGCCCCCAGAATTATTTTCAATAAGAGCTTTAATGAAGTACTTCACATGCCACGCAATTCACCCATTTAAAGTGTACAACCCCCGTCCTCCTGAAGAAACCCTGTGTTGTTAGCTACTGTCACCACCACGCACCTTACCTCCCTACCACTCCTAAGCAGCCACTAATTTACTTTCTGTCTGTATGAATTTGCATATTCTGGGCAGCTCATACACGTGGGATTATACCATATGAGCTCTTCTGTGACTTGTTTCTTCCTCTCAGCACAATAGTTGCAAGATTGGTTCATATGATAGCGTGTGGATGTACTACATCTAATTTATTAGTGAGTTGATGGACATTTGGGTTGTTTCCACTCTGACTATTATGAGTAATCCCTCATGCATTCATATGTGGACTTGTGTTTTCATTTTTATTGGCTATGTATCCAGGAGTTCCCTCTTCATTTTGAAGTGAATTTCAGATATCCTCTGTTAATATTTCACTATACATCTTGCTAAGAAAGGACTTTAAGGACCATAAGCATAATACTATGGCACCTAAAATAGGTTAATTGCCTAGAGTCACCAGATGAATCCTGGGATATGTTTTGGCAGCATTTCCTGATGGGTTAGATGTGAACTGCAAGACAAAGGAGTAGCAAAGGACTCCTCTAGGTTTCTTGTGATAAATGGAGGTTAGGTTTGCCACCAACTGATAAGGAAGGCTTTGGGTGGAACTGGTGTTTGTAGAGTGTCTGGAATTTTAGAGAAGTTAGTTTTGACAAGACTACTAGGTATCTGAGTAGACGTGGAGTTTGATCCATGCCTGGAGTTCAGGATAGAGATCTAATTTTGGACATTATCAGCATTTAACTAGAGGTTAAAACCAAGAGGCCTCATGGAAAGTTGCCTGGGAAAGAATGGAGTTCAGGAAGAGCAGAAGTGCCCAGGACAGAGTCGTGGAGCATCCCAAGATGAAGGGGGTGGCATCCCAGAGAAGCAGCCTGAGTAGGAGCGGCCAGTAAGGTAGACAGGAAACTGGGAGAATGGGCTGGCTGTTCTGGAAGCCAGGGAAGGAAACTGTGTGGAGGAAGAGGGTTGGGTCAGCGGATATTCACTGGGACAAGATCAGTGTTATAGTCCAAGTGGCCAAGTTTATTTGGTGTTAAAGTGACATTCCTTCATGTCAAGCCTGCTTCTGGAGACTTGCATTGGGGTTGGCCACTTCCTCCTGGTGCTCGGTCTTCTTGGCAGGATTTAAAAGGTCCTGGGGTTGGTGCTGTTCCCCACGCACCAGCTCTGGTTTCTAAGAAAACACAGGCGGCTCAGCCTGTCTTCTTCCTCAACTGTGTCAGGCCAGCTCCCACTTTGAAGATTCCTCAGCGCATATCTGACTCCAGGGGCTACACTTGTTAGACTGTTAGTGGACTCAGAGCCCCTCTTGCTAGGTCTGTGAGGACTGCTGTAGGCAGTGACCACAAGCTTGGTGGCTTAAAGCACCCGAAATGTAATCTCGTGGTTCTGGAGGACAGTAGTTGGAAAGCAAAAAGTCGACAGGACTGCAGCCCCAGAGGCTGAGAGGAGAGGGTTCTCTCTCGTCTCTTCCAGCTTCTGGTGGCTCTGATTTTTCCTTGGCATGTGGCCACATCTCTTTATTATCTGCTTCTTTTTTTTTTTGACAGGCAGAGTGGACAGTGAGAGAGAGAGAGAGAGAGAGAGAGAGAGAGAGAAAGGTCTTCCTTTGCCGTTGGTTCACCCTCCAATGGCCGCTGCGGCCGGCGCACTGCGGCCGGTGCACCGCGCTGATCCGATGGCAGGAGCCAGGTACTTCTCCTGGTCTCCCATGGGGTGCAGGGCCCAAGCACTTGGGCCATCCTCCACTGCACTCCCTGGCCACTATCTGCTTCATTTTTTTTAAAAAAAGATTTATTTATTTGAAAGGCAGATAGAGAGGGTAGGATGGAGAGAGAGAGATGTTCTGTCTGCCGTTTCACTCCCCAGATGGCTGCAATGGCCAGGGCCAGGCCAGGCTGAAACCAGGAGCCAGGAACTTCATTTGGGTCTCGCACTTGGGTACAGGGACCCAAGCACTTGAGCCATCTTCCGCTGCTTTCCTGGGTGCATTAGCAGGGAGCTGGATTGGAAGTGGAGTAATCAGGCCTTGAACCAGTGCCTATATGGGATGGTGGCTTAACCCGTTACACCACAATGCTGGCCCCTTCTGACTGTTTTCACCTGGCTTTCTTCCTTGCATGTTTTCCTCTGTCTTTTGTCTTTTATAAAGACACTTGTTAATGGATTTAAGGCCCACCTGAATAACCCAGCAAGCTCTCATTTTGATCAAGGCCCTTAGTTTACATCTGCAAAGATACTTTTCCCAAATAAAGTTGCATTTATAGGTTTTGGGGCTACCATGCAGCCTACAGTACTTGGGAGGGAACATCCCCTCCGGCTTGAGGGTCTGTGTAAGGGTAGGGGTCCCAGCGCACACCGATGTCTCCTGCTACAATAATCCTTAGTTTTCTGCCTCTGGCAAAGTTCCTGCCTTAGGTGTGCATCCTGAAGATGGGTGCTGGTACAGAGTCCGTAACCAGTGCTAAGCCATGGCCTGTGCAAGTCTCACAGAGGTGGTTCAGCATCTTCCTTCGGAATGAGGGTGTTTGTGACCTCTTAGATCGAAACCCCATTTCGGCCAGAGGGATCAGCATTTTGCCTTCATGGCCCCAGAGCTCCTGCACAGAGTGTACTTATCCTGCTGGGGATGAGAATTCCCCTGGGTCTCATGGGATGCCTTTGCTGCCTTTCTCGAAGAGCGTGCCTTGGATGAGCAGGCAGCCCTGGAAGAACCAGCTGTGTGAGATGGTGCAGCCCAGCGGCGGCCCGGCCGGGGACCAGGACGTGCTGCCTGAAGAGTCTTCTCTGGGGAAGCCGGCCATGCTGCATCTGCCCGCAGAGCAGGGTGCTCCTGACGCTCTCCAGCGCTGTCTGGAGGAGAACCAAGAGCTCCGAGGTGAGGTGGACAGCAAGTAGGTGGGGCACAAAGTCAGGGGATCTGGTCCTGCTGAAGGCAAGGCTTCTCTCGTGCACCTCTGCGTCTGCTGGGTGTGGGGCGAGGGCACCCCGAGAGCCAGCTTGTGCTTCCAGCGTAGCTACCTTGCCTCCTGGTTCCAGGCGGGGTTCCCTGGGAGCAGACCGAGGTGCATGGCAGGGTCAGTACTGAGGCAGAGAAGGGAAGGAGATGGGAGAAAGCAGGGGTGGGCAGCAGAAGTGGGCTGCCTTGGCTGACCCCCAGGGACTCTGGGGCTGGACTGACACTTCCAGGCTGGACCAGCGTGGCCCAGCCTCAGAGGACCTCTTCCCTGGGAGGGGACTCAGACTTTCCTGGGGTGGGTTGCGGTCTTGTTTGAGAGGGGGGTGCTGTGGCCTGTCCTGGGAAGTGGGTGTGGCCCACCCTGAGAGGAGGTGGTGTTGACCAGCATGAGAGGCATGACCCCTGCTGCAGTGGGGTAGCTGATGCCTCAGTTGTGTCTTTAGTTGGCCATTCATGTCCTAGTTGGCCAGTGGCTCTTGCCACAGTCGTAGTCCCATTCCCCACCTCCTTAAGTGAGTGTTGGATGTGATGTAGGGTCTTTTGCTGATGAGTCACGTGCTCTGTGGCCTCAGGGAGTGGTGCTGGCAGATGCCATGCACGCAGGGAGCAGACCTGGGTCTGGAATGTGTGTCCTCTTCCTAGGAGACAGCTAGCCACCAAGAGACTGCTTGGTTTCCTTGAAGGTTGCATTGGAGAGGCCCCGCCTTTTTTTTTTTTTTTTTAGATTTATTTATCTGAAAGGCAGAATTACAGAGAGGCAGAGGCATACAGAGAAAGAGAGGCCTTCCATCCGCTTGTTCACTCTGCAGATGGCCTCAACGGCCAGAGCTGTGCTGATCCCAAGCTGGGAGCCAGGAGCTTCTTCTGGGTCTCCTATGCGGGTGCAGGGGCCTGAGGACTTGGGCCATCTTCTGCTTTCCCAGGCCATAGCAGAGAGCTAGATCGGAAGTGGAGCAGTGGGTCTAGAACCAGCGCCCATATGGGATGGTGGCACTGCAGACGGCGGCTTTACCCACTATGCCACGGCGCTGGCCCCGAGGCCCTGTCTTGAGCACAGAGCAGCAGTGTCTTCTACCTCAGTTCTGTTGACCTCTGGGGCCAGCTAATTCTCTGTGGTGAGGGCTGTCCTAGCCATTGTGGCATGGTGAGCAGTATCCCTGGCTTCTACTCACAGGTGCCAGTAGTGCCCCTCCAGTCCCCTGGGAGTCACAGTTGTCCTTGAGTGGGACCCACTGTGCTGGGGTCTTCAGAACAAGTCATGCACATAGAGCTGGCAGCCAGATCGGGGCCTCTGTTCATCCCTAGGGGCCCAGAGCATTTCAGAGCAGTTGTGCAGGGCTCATGCCATGGCCTGTGGTGGCTCGGCTCTTCTGCCTCCTAGACTGTGTGTTCAGCACAACAGCTTTGCTAAGTCTCTGGCAGCAAGTGGAGACTTGAGGCTATATTGCCTCCAACTGGGAAGCTGGATAAAGCTTGGGGGGCAGCATGTGAGACCCCCAGGGGCCCTGAAGGTGATTGTCCCCCAAGGTGCTCATGATTGTGTCTATAGGTAGGCTGTGAAACCAAACAAGGGAGGGTACAGTGTTTGCTCAGAACGTTTATGAAGAAACTTCCCGGAAGAGCTTGCCTGTATTCACGTGACATGTCTCAGAGACAGAAAGCAGTTGAGTGGACGCCAGGAGTGCGGGCAGGGGGCCTACGGGAGAGAATGCTGCTGGGTTTGGGGTTTCTTTCTGGGGTGCTGGGAATGTTCTGGAATTAGGTAGTGCTGATGGTTGCATGATCTTACAGCTTCATTAGCTAAAAACCACTGGATGACTATACTTTAAAATAGTTAAAATGGTGAATTTGATGTTACATGAATTTTTACGTCACTAAAAAGAAATTTAAAAGACATTGCACACAAGTTGAGACTCGGGTTGAGTGGGCAGGCAGCAGTGATGGCCAAGGGTTTGGAACATTCAGTGATGTGAAACTACTGTCTACCTCTGTTGGATACGGTTCTGTGGTTGCCCTAGAACCTTGCACGTCACTGATCGCTTTTGTCAGATGCTTCTTCCTCTACCTGGGGTGGTCGCTGGGTATGTGGCTTTCCTCTCCTCTGGCCTCTGCCAGCCACCTGCCGCTGGCACTGATATATGCTCATGGCTTAGTCTGGCGAGAAGAAGACTGCTCTTTTTATTTATTTATTTATTTATTTATTTATTTATTTATTTTTTGACAGGCAGAGTGGATAGTGAGAGAGAGAGAGACAGAGAGAAAGGTCTTCCTTTTGCCGTTGGTTCACCCTCCAATGGCCGCCACGGCCGGTGCGCTGCGGCCGGCGCACCGCGCTGATCCGATGGCAGGAGCCAGGAGCCAGGTGCTTTTCCTGGTCTCCCCATGGGGTGCAGGGCCCAAGCACCTGGGCCATCCTCCACTGCACTCCCTGGCCACAGCAGAGGGCTGGCCTGGAAGAGGGGCAACTGGGACAGAATCCGGCGCCCCGACCGGGACTAGAACCCGGTGTGCCGGCGCCGCTAGGCGGAGGATTAGCCTAGTGAGCCGCGGCGCCGGCCAAAGACTGCTCTTTTTTGAGTTTCTGCACAAACACTGTGTCTGCTGCTGCTGCTTAGAGGGCAGGTGTTCTTGTCCCTGTCGAATACGCAGAGGCAGGCACTGAAGCTTAGACAGGCACCTACCTTGCCCCATCAAAGCCAGCAAGGCCACAGTGAAGTCTGCTTTCGTGGCCATCCCGAGTATGCAGCTGTGTTAGGACCCCTTGATCCTGAAGACACCAGAGATGTAGGCGAGGGAGGACCGAACTGAGGAGCTCAGGGCAGGCGTGTTTTGGACTGAACCAGAAGCCGGGTGACTTACAGAGCTAGCTGCTCACAAAGAAAGTAACGTTTGGCACATACTTTCCAGTGAAGCTGATATGTTTACTGTTTCGTTGGAGAGACTTCAGAGGCATTTAAGCAAATATCTAACAGGGAGCACTTGAAAGTTACCAGTTCCTTTGAGAAGTTCCTTTGAGAAGCCTGGTATTACGGGCAGGAGGCTGTGATGGGTGGCCCTGCCTCAGGCACGTTTGGCCATGGGCAGGGCTGGTTGGCCAGGCTGCCCGGCTGCTGGTGCTCACTTCCCTCCTGCTGTGTCTCCTGCGCCAGATGCCATCCGGCAGAGCAACCAGATGCTGCGGGAGCGCTGTGAGGAGCTGCTGCGTTTCCAGGTCAGCCAGAGGGAGGAGAAGGAGTTCCTCCTGTGCAAGTTCCAGGAGGCCAGGAAACTGGTGGAGAGACTGAACCTGGAGAAGCTCGACCTGAAGAGGCAGAGAGAGCAGGCCCTGCAGGAGGTGGAGCACCTGAAGAGATGCCAGCAGGTAGTGGGGGGGCTGTCCCCGGGAACCGGGCGCTCTCGTCCCGCCTGTGGGCCCCTCAGGGATGCTGGTGTTCCCATGGGGAGTGCGTAACTCAGGGGTCTTCAAGGGCACCCTCTGGCCCAGTGATTCTCTGGGAGGACTCATGGCACTCAGAAGAGCCGCCGTACTCACAGTATGGTTTATTACAGGGAAAGGCCACGGTCCAGGAGAGAACAGGTGCCAGCCTGCCAGTGTCTTCCCCCCATCCCCAGGGAGTTGTGCAGACAGTGCCTGATTCTCGCTCAAGTGAGGTGGGCCCCCAGGCATGGGGCATTGTCACCCAGGGAAGCTCACCAGGCTGGGCTGTAGGCGCTGTGGACAGGCAGCACCGAGGGCAGACCTGCACTGTCCACTGTGTTGCTAGCATAGGCCTCCTGACAGGGTCCTAGGCCCTGGGTAAACCTGGGTACCCTTGTCAGGCAGTGTTTTCTGGGGTTGGAGGTTATGCCCTAGTGGCTGGGCCAGGCCAGACCTGGGTCTAGGAGGCACAGGGCCTGTGGCCCCAGGTTCTGCACTGTGAGACCCCCAAGTGTGCTTGGTGTGTACTGATGAGGGCGTATCGGGCCCTTGTGTCAGAACTCGGCTGGTCCCAGTATCCCTGTGACAGCTGGGAGAGTCAAAGTAGGCACAGGCACAGGAGACTGGCTGCTGCCGGGCTCCCATCCCTTGAGGCGAGTCCCATGGGGCCAGCATGACTCACTGCTGGGAGTGCCTGCTCAAGGTATTTATTGTGTATTTGGGGATACTATGAGTTTCCCGTGGCTGCTGGAACAGAGTGCCCCAGGCCAGGGGCTTAAACACCAGAGATTTGTTGTCTCCCAGTTCTGGAAGCCAGAAGCCGGAAGCCTGAAGCCGGAGACCAGGGTGTGGCAGGGCAGACTCCTTCCAGGGCCGTGAGGAAAACGTGCTCTGTCCCTCCGCAGCTCCTAGTGCTGCTGGGAAACTGGCGTCCTCAGCCCTCGCTACATCCTTCCTGTCTCTGTCATGTGGCCTTCTCCCTATGAGCCTCTGTGTCTCTTCTCTCTCTATGAGGACACCAGGTGAGAGACAGATAAAGCACATGTTGGGAACAGCCTCTCCACTCACTCCCACCAGTAGAGGACAGACTGAGCAGTGGCCGTCCCAGGCTGCAGAGGCGTTTGCGAGGGAGGGTCGGGGGTGGGGGATCAGGAGGGGAAGGGGCTCAAGTGAAAGCGACAGGGGGCGCCCCGTGTCAATGCAACGAGGCCAGCGTGTCTGTGAGCTGCCAACCGTGGAAGTCAGGATTCTGTGCCCAGGGACCCTGGGAGCCTGCGGCCATCGTCCTTCCTGGAGACCACTGTTACAGGAATGGCTCTCGGGTCCTGGAGGAAGGCACTTCCGGGCTGTGGGAGAGATGCAGACGTGCCAAAGGGACAGAAGCCGGAGTCACAGTGCTGGGTCCTTTTTAGAAAATACCCCAGGAGAGAGGGCTGGGGCCTGGCTCAGGTGTTGGGCAGGAAGAGCAGTACGTTGTGCTGATGGCCCTGAGGGTTTCCAGACAGGAGCTGAAAAAGGGGCTGAGGTCTCCCAGGATGCGGCCCTAGGCTGCTGGAAGCCTGTTAGAGTCTGGTCAGGTCTCTCGGAGCAGTGGTTTGTTTTTATTTATGAGAGAGAGAGAGAGAGAGACAGACAGACAGACAGACAGACGTGGGGGAGAGGGAGAGGTGGGGGAGAGAGAGAGGTGGGGGGAGAGAGGGAGGGAAGTAGGGAGGCTGCTTCACTCCCCAGATGCCTGCAACAGCCAGAGCAGGGCCAAGCTGAAGCCAAGAGCCAGGAGTTCAGTCTGTGTCCTCATCTGTGTGGCAGGGACCCAGCTACTTGAGCCGTGACCTGTGGCCTCCTAGGGTGTACATTAGGAGGAAACTGGAATCCCAAGAGGAGCTTGGACTCAAACCGAGGCACTGTGATATGGAATGTGGATGTCCCAAGTGTTTGCTCAGCCACTATGCCAAATGCCTGTCCCCAGTTCTCAGTATTTAACAAAATCCAGTATCCACTCTTGCTTTGCGAAGGCTCTCAGCTTCTAGTGTCCTGGGCGGGTGGAGCAGAGCATGTATTTTCTTTATTGCCTTTATGTCTCTTCTCCTTTCACAACTGTTACAGCCTGCTTGCTGGGGCAGTGGCCAACCTTAGTAGCGTCTTGTGACTGAGGGCCTCTGTGCTCCTGCAGCCCTTTGGGGTCTGATGGATGGGGAAGGGGCTCGGAAGTGTGGCCTCTCGGAACTCCATCCTTTTCCACTGCCTCAGTTGCCATGGTGGGATCAGGAGGGGAGGGTACTATGAGAAGTGGAAGGAAGCCATGGGAAAAATGTGCCTCAACCATTAGCAGATGGTGATGGTAGGGGATCGGGGAGGGTCAAGTGGCTGTGGGCTGATGGGATCCCAGGGTACTGGGTTTGGGGGTGCTGAGGCTGGAGAGAAGCCTCAGCTACTTGGCTAACAGGAATTGCCTTTTTCTCCTGCAGCAGATGGCCGAGGACAAGGCCTCTGTGAAAGCTCAGGTGACATCCTTGCTTGGGGAGCTCCAGGAGAGCCAGAGTCGCTTGGAGGCTGCCACTAAGGAGCGAGAGGCTTTGGAGGGCAGGTGAGTGGGGAGGGCTAGTGTACTCTGGAGGCCACTTCCAGGATCCGTAGAAGAAGAGGGTGGGCCTCAGTGCCGCTTGTGGGGCTCCTCTGTGAGAGGATGGACTGGAGGTCACTGCCTGAAACACCCCCATCTCATCAGGACACGTTTGGGAGAGCTCTGGACCAGGCATGCGGGACCTGGGTCCTAGCTAGTGATTTTGGGCTCTGACCTTGGGCTGGAGTTTGGATAATTCCCTTAGGAGGTGTTTCAAGGCACTCCCCAAGACCACAGCTGTGGTTGATCAAGTAAAGGGCAGCAGCTGCACATGGGGACTGGAGAAGCCCCTCCTCAGGCTCCTCCCACTGGGAGGGGCACAGCCCAAAAGGCTTCCCACCGGGACTCTGCTCAGGGACAGCAGCAGCTTGGAGACGTCTACTTGCGAATGAGAACTCCCGGGGCAGACAGTGAGGGCTTTCAGGCTTGGGGACCCTTTTTCCTGCCAAGGGCCATTTGGACACTTACAACATCACTTGTGGGCTCTATAAAACGATCCACTTACAAACGAGCCTGCTAGAGATGTTTTGAACACGCTTGGAGTCCCACCTGCCGTGATTTTGCGGGCCTGCTGGGCCCCTACAGAGCTGCTTACGTGCTGGCCCCTGCCGTTGCTCCCATCTTTGGTCACAAAATGCTCGGAAGCTGACCCCTTCGGCCTGCTGCTGGCTTACAGCCCCTGCTGCTGGTCTTTCCTCTGTCCTCAATCTTTCCCTTCCCTTTGTCAGGGCCCGGGCAGCCAGTGAGCAGGCCAGGCAGCTGGAGAGTGAGCGGGAGGCGCTGCAGCAGCAGCACAGCGTGCAGGTGGACCAGCTGCGCATGCAGAGCCAGAGCGTGGAGGCCGCCCTGCGCATGGAGCGCCAGGCTGCCTCAGAGGAAAAGTGAGTCGGCGGGAAGAGTGGGGTGGGGGCAGTGACCAGAGGGCCTAGGATTTTTTTCCTACTTCCTGGGCCCCCTTATGGTGACCGCTTATGTGTGAGGGCCAACTCTCCGTCAGACTTGCTGAGGTGGAGTCAACCATGCATCTTTTTTTTTTTCTTTTTAAAGATTTATTTATTTATTTGAGAAGCAGAGTTATAGAGAGAGAGAGAAAGGTCTTCCATCCACGGGTTCAGTCCCCAAATAGCCACAATGGCTGGAGCTGAGCCAAGCCGAAGCCAGGAGCCAGGAGCTTCCTCCAGGTCTCCCATCTAGGTGCAGGGGCCCAAGCACTTGGGCCATCCTCAACTGCTGTCCCAGGCCATAGCAGAGAGCTGGATTGGAAGTGGAACAGCTGGGACTTGAACCGGCGCCCATCTGGGATGCCAGCACTGCAGGTGGAGGCTTAACCTGCTATGCCACAGTGCCGGCCCCAATCATGTGTCTTATACGTGTTCTTGGAAGCCTTCTACTAGCATCCTGCCCAGGACCCTGAGTTTCTTTCCTTGGCATGTTTTTGTTTTTAAACATTTATTTATTTCTTTGAAAAGCAGAGTTAGAGAGAGAGAGAGAGAGAGAGAGCGATCTTCTGTTTGCTGGTTCACTTCCCAAATGGCCAGAATGGCTAAAGCTGGGCTGGTCCAGAACCAGGAGTCAGGAGCCCAGAGTTTCTTCCAGGTCTCCTATGTGGGTTCAGGGGCCCAAGGGCTTGGGACATCCTCTGCTGCTTTCCCAGGCACATGAGCAGGGAGCTGGTTTGGAATTAGAGCAGCCAGGACTTCGAACTGGTGTCCATATGGGATGCTGGCGTCAGGGGTGGTGGCTTTACCTGTTATGCCACAGTGCCGGCCACTTGGTGTGCTTTTTGAGTGTCGTGTCTAGAACAATTCCCTGGTTTGTGTTTTTCGTGAGGTTGAAATCTTTCTAAAATTTTTTGAAAACTTGTTTTACTTATTTGAGAAGCAGAGAGAGAATGAGCAAGCTAAGAGCACTCTCACTTACTGGTTCACTCCACAGAAGCTGCCAGTGGCCCCTGGTCTCCCATATGGGTGGCAAGGACACAGCTAATTCATTCCTCACTGCTGCTTTGTAGGGTCTGCATTGGCAGGGAGCTGGAATTGGTGGCAGAGCTGGGAATTGAACCTAGGCACTCTGATGTGCGATGTAGGTGTTTTAACTGCTAGGCCAAATGCTTACTCCTGAAGTTGACATATTTGAAGAATGCAGGATAGGGGCTGGTGCTGTGGCATAGAAGCTTAAGCCGTTACCCTCAGTGCTGGCTTCGAGTCCTGGCTACTCCACTTCCGATCCAGCCCTCTGCTAATGTGCCTGGGAAAGTACTTGGTGCCCTGCACTCACCTGGGAGACCCCACTAAGGCTCCTGGCTCCTGATTTCAACCTGGCCCAGCCCTGGCTGTTGTGGCCATTTGGGGAGTAAACCAGTGAATGGATGATAGTGCACTCTTTCTTTCTAATTCTGACTTTCAAATAAAAAAATAAATTAGTCTTTAAAAAAAGAGTGCAGGATAGTTCCATTTTACTGTAAACATTTAAAAATGTTAGTGTCGGCAGGTGCCACGGCTCACTAGGCTAATCCTCCGCCTGTGGCACCAGTACTCCGGGTTCTAGTCCCAGTCGGGGCGCTGGATTCTGTCCCGGTTGCTCCTCTTCCAGTCCAGCTCTCTGCTATGGCCCGGGAAAGCAGTGGAGGATGGCCCAAGTGCTTGGGCCCTGCACCCGCATGGGAGACCAGGAGGAGCACCTGGCTTCTGGCTTCAGATCCACACAGTGCACCAGCCATAGCGGCCATTTTGGGGGGTGAACCAACGGAAGGAAGACCTTTCTCTCTGTCTCTCTCTCTCACTGTCTAACTCTGTCTGTCAAAAAACAATGTTAAGTGTTAAGGAAAGTAATCTTTACTATTTTGGAAGCAATTGAGGTTCAGTAAGACTTGTAGTCAGCTAGGGTTGCCTCAGAATTGAGCCTGAGGCATTCAAAGGCATTCTTTTTTAAAAGATTTATTTATTTATCTGAAAGTCAGAGTTACCCAGAGACAGAAGGAGAGAGAGAGACAGAGAGAGAGAGAGATATGTCTTGCATCCGCTGGTTCACTCCCCAATTGGCCAGTTGGCTGCAATGGCCAGAGCTATGCTGATCCAAAGTCCAAAGCCAGGAGCCAGGAGCTTCTTCTGGGTCTCCCTCGTGGGTGCAGTGGCCCAAGGATTTGGGCTGTCCTTTCCCAGGCCATAGCAGAGAGCTGGATCGGAAGTGGAGCAGCCAGGACTCAAACCAGCGCCTATATGGGATGCCAGCACTGCAGGCAGTGGCTTTACCTGCTGTGCCACAGTGCCAGCCCCTCAAAGGCATTCTTGAAAGCTCCTTTTCCGGGTCTATGACAAGGTATGAATGAAGAGGATAGAGTTGGAGGCAGACTAAGCTGTGGCTGGCCTCGGACGATGCAATTTCTCCAGTAAAGCTCCTTTTTTTCAGGCGGAAGCTGGCCCAGTTGCAGGTGGCATATCACCAGCTCTTCCAGGACTATGACAACCACATCAAGAACAGCATGGTGAGCGGTGAGCGGAAGCGGGTAAGTAGGGCTGGCCTTGTCTCCCTCTCCTTAGAATTAGCTTTTGGGAGGGACACTTGACTTGCCCTAGACCTTTATCAGGGTTCCAGTTGTGAGCACAGAATATGGGGAGCCTTGGGCCTTGTTGTACATCAGCCTTGGCCCGTCAGCAGGCTGCCCCGGCGTCCCATTGTGCTGGCCCAGGGCCTTGTGATGAGCTCTGTGGAGCTGGGGGCATGCTTGTGCCCTTGGCTGTTCGCTCCCTCCAGACATTCTCTGCCAGTCTCCTGACTTGGATTCCTTGACCTGAGGTACGCCCCGATAATGGATGGGGGCCCTTTTCTGTTTGTTCTCATCAGCCCTAAGCTGGCTCAAGTTGACCTAATTGTCAACTGTGGCTGTACTCAGAGGGGATTTATAAGGATTAAGGCTGAAACCAGGTCACACGAGGAAGAGCTAGTTACAAAAATGGCTACTTAATCTTCAGAGAGGGGTCGGCGCCTGGCTCACTTGGTTAATCTTCCGCCTGCGGCGCCGGCAACCAATGTGGGCACCGGGTTCTAGTCCCGGTTGCTCCTCTTCCAGTCTAGCTCTCTGCTGTGGCCCAGAAAGTCAGTGGAGGATGGCCCAAGTGCTTGGGCCCCTGCACCTGCATGAGAGACCAGGAGGAGGCACCTGGCTCCTGTCTTCGGATTGGTGCAGCGCCGGCCGTGGTGGCCATTTGGGGAGTGAACCAACAGAAGGAAGCCCTTTCTCTCTGTCTCTCTCTCTCTCACTGTCTATAACTCTACCTGTCAAATAAAAAAAAATAAAAATAAAGAAAATCTTCAGAGAGAGGTCTTGCTGTGGTGTGGTGTGTGTACATGCGTGCACACGTGTGTGCGTGCCTGTGAATGTATGTATCTGTGTGTGTAGGGGTGTGATATCCAGATGGGCTGAGTAGACCTCTGGCTGTGTGTGGGCAGGCATGCAGTCAGTGGGGTGTTAGTGTGTGGGACTGGCTCACTGCAGAGTGGGCAGTCTCAGGAAGGCACATGGCTCCTGTCCTTTGAGGAGGAGGCCTGGCCTGCTGGATTCTGTGAGGTGAACAGCTGCCCAGGTGGGAGATTCTGTGGGATAACCTCCAAGGTCCCCTCAGTCCTGCGATTCTTTTTTTTTTTTTTTTGACAGGCAGAGTGGACAGTGAGAGAGAGAGATAGAGAGAAAGGTCTTCCTTTGCTGTTGGTTCACCCTCCAGTGGCTGCCATGGCTGGTGCGGTGCGCCGGCCGCAGCACACTGATCCGATGGCAGGAGCCAGGTACTTCTCCTGGTCTCCCATGGGGTGCAGGGTCCAAGTACTTGGGCCATCCTCCACTGCATTCCCTGGCCACAGCAGAGAGCTGGCCTGGAAGAGGGGCAACCGGGACAGAATCCGGTGCCCCGACCGGGACTAGAACCCGGTGTGCCGGCGCCGCAAGGCTGAGAATTAGCCTAGTGAGCCGCGGCGCCGGCAGTCCTGCGATTCTTAACACGTCCCAAGAAAACCTTGAGCATTTCTTCTGCCCTCTTGTGTTGTGACAAAATGCCGCCTTCGCTGCCCATACTGAGCTCTTGTGATCGGCCTTCAAATGCAAGGGGCTGGGGCCAGCCAGGGCCACTCTTGTCCCTGTCAGTTCTCCTCACTGGAGTAGTGCTGGCCTGGGAGGCCCGGTCAGTGTCGCTCACCCGTCTCTAGGGGATGCAGCTGGAGGATCTGAAGCAGCAGCTCCGGCAGGCCGAGGAGGCCCTGGTGGCCAAGCAAGAAGTGATTGACAAGTTGAAGGAGGAGGCCGAGCAGCACAAGATGGTGATGGAGACCGTGCCAGTCCTGAAGGCCCAGGTGAGGTTCTCCTCTGGCCGGAGTGGCACGTGACGAATTGGGCCCACCCTGGCACCGCAGCCTGGCCTTGTCTCTGGTGGCCGCTTGGAGACTCCTGAGCCCCTGCCTCGCTCCTTGAGCTCTCTGTGGTCCATGCTGATGTGGGGTCAGGGAGGGCAGGAGCGGGCTCGGCTTCCATCCCTAGTGCCCCACCCAGTGTGCCCCCAGAGAGGCCGATAGGTGGCGAGCACGTCCCTGTCTCGCGTTGGCAGGCGGATATCTACAAGGCAGACTTCCAGGCTGAGAGGCAGGCCCGGGAGAAGCTGGCTGAAAAGAAGGAGCTGCTGCAGGAGCAGCTGGAGCAGCTGCAGAGGGAGTACAGCAAGCTGAAGGCCAGCTGTCAGGAGTCAGCCAGGTGGGCCTCTGGGGGCGCCAGCACGAGCGCAGCACCTGTGGGAACCGTGCGGGTTAGGAGCCACTGCCCTCCCCGCCTCCCCTCCCCCCTCCCTCCCCTCCCCTCCTCTCCCTCTCCTCCTTCCCCTCCCCTCCCTCCCCCTCCCCCCCTCCCCCTCCCCCTCCTCTCCCCTCCCCCTCCTCTCCCCTCCCCCTCCTCTCCCCTTCCCCTCCTCCCCTCCCCCTCTCTCCCTCTCCCCTCCTTTCCCCTCTCCCCTCCCTTCCCCTCTCCCCTCCCCCTCCCCTCTCCCCTCCCCCTCCCCTCCCCTCTCTTCCCCTCCCCTCCCCTCTCTTCCCCTCCCCCCTCCCCCCCTCCCACCCCCGTGTTCTGCCCACAGCTTTTCTTGCTAATTCAGCTAGGAGCTT